TCAACCATCGACAGCCTTGCCAACGATTGGTTATTGCTTAGCCATATCACAACTGTTGCTGCTTCCTCGGTGCTTTAGCAAATAGGGGGAGGTTTTCTGATGGCCAACGGTATGGTGTTCCCATCGCCGGGATCGTTGTGGAGCTTGGGAAAGAGTGAAAACGAAGGAAAAGCATCGATATTTGGGGAACTACTTTTCTGAGAACTAGAAATCTTGTTCGGATTTTGGAAGCCCATTAGGAAGTATTTTACTCCGGAGCTGGCAGGGATTGCATTTGGGCAGCTAGTGGATCAGTCGTTACGAATCGGGGGTTTTGTTTCACCAGTATATTTCCGCCGCATGGTACGCCAGTCCATGTACGTTTTCCCCAATATGGTCCTGGGCTATGCTCAGAAAATTTCAGCACTCCAGCTACTCCGGCTGTCGAATTACGTCAAATTCCGCGTGTTCGTAAATGAGGGCAAAAGAAGATGCTACTTTTGCGTGTGTTTACCAAAATACGGTCCTGGGCCACGCTCAGAAAATTTTAGCACTCCAGCTACTTTGGCAGCCGAGTTACGTCAAATTTTGCGTGTTCGTAAGTGAGGTCAAAAGAAAATGCTACCTTTGCGTGTGTTTACCAAAATGCGATCCTGGGCCACGCTCAGAAAATTTCAGCACTCCAGCTAATCCGGTCGAAAAATAAGCTGCCGTAATTCTGGCCTGTGGTAGTTCTTGCATTGTGCTGATTTATTGAATGTTTCAGCACCACTGTCAAGATGGATCCGGCACTACTGAAGCAACAGGCAGCATTCAGGGCACGCGCATCGCAGGCTGTCGAGATGGCCAGGAGGAATAACAACGCATCCACATCACATTCCACCTACGAGTAAGCCTTTTCTTGTTTTTATGCGCTTTTGCGCTGTGTAATAGCAGCATAAAACCACCGTATGATTTCGTAAATTTGAATCCAACCTTCCCGTGACCACGGGTAATACGTACTACCGCACAAAAGTTTTGGCGGGGAAAATTGTTATCTGGGAAACCACGGCAGCTAGGGAGCTGAAATTTTATGGGTATGTCCCCCGCCTACGTGCGAACGGGAAAATTTAAATCTGACCTCATTGTACCCGCGCGTAATACGTACGGCCCCGTAAAATTTTTGGCAAGGAAAATTATTATCTCGGGAATCAGAAGAGCTGTGAAGTTGATGTTTTTTTCAAAAGGATTTTTTTTTTTTGCCTGCGCAGATACCTCACAAACTCAAATTCAGCTCCCAAAAATGCAGATTTCTTTCGTAGGGCCACGTGAAAGTTTTGATGCGAAAGTTACTAGCTCAGAAGCCGAAAAACTGGGAGGTTGAAAAACTGGGAAGTTTCTTCTGTATTCTTTTAGCCGATGTTTTTAAGCTGTTTCATAACAAATGTTACCGTACAAGGGATACCCCAGAAGTCATTATTGTGTGAGTTCCT